TTTATCCAAAACTATCCAATCCTCCATCCAAGACTGACAGTTATGGGAAACCACTTAAATCTTTCCAGCATGCAACCAAGACTGTAGGTCCAACAGGGAGTATTGTTCTGTTCAATAGCCCTGTCAACCTCAATCTGTACAGACTTGTACATCTGTGCACATACAAATGTCCAGTTCCATCAAAGCATTTGTGCCTATGGAGAGCACAGCGAAGGGTACAATTCTTCCAAACACCCATGGCCCAGGACAGCACACAGAGTTCCAGAGGATCTACTATGGTTTCTTTGAGGCAAAGGGATCGACTGATATCTGTACGTACAGCAGCCCTTGATGCCTTCGTGGTGAAGCAGATGAGCCACTGGGAAAGGTAGCACTAAGTTATACTGATCCATCTTGATTTTGATATGCAAGTTTGAGTAAAACCTCATGGTTCATAACTAATTTAAAACTTTTCTTTCTTACAGGGTGTGCAGTCTGAACTGTGGCAGAGCATTGAGAATATTCTACAGCCAACTTATTTCCATTAAAAGTGTCCCAAGTCTGTCCATGTGCTTTGATTCTTTGGATTGCCGGGGTGTTTGAAGGAATAGATCGACACTTTGGGAAATATATTAATAGCTTTTTGTAAGAGTTAGATGAGAGGATCAATGCCACTTTGAAACAGCTAGCCTGGCTCTGTTCAAAGGTTTTTAGAAAAAAAAAATCCATCTACCAGCACCTCTGCTGTTCATTGATTAACTTTGTCCAATCTATACAAGATTGTCTAAGAAGAACAACAAGCTGGGGTTTTACAGGGGATTATGTGTGAAGAAGTCATTGTGTATGGCTCCAGCATGTAACCCCCAGTAAAACCAATCATTTCAGATTTAACAAACTAGATGCAATGTGATGTTGAGCTTTATTTTGAACTTTGGACAAAGCCAGGTAAGCTTTGTACCCCTTGTATGACGTCTTTGTGTTAAGCTAAGCCAACGAACTAAGCCAATGTCTCCTGACTCTAGTTAGATATTTACTATAGAGACGGTGGGATCAATCTGCTCAGCAAGAAAGTGAGGAAGTGTATGTCCCCAAAAAGTCAAACTATTCTTTTACTCTATACAACCCTAAAACTTTTTTTTTTTTTTTTTTTTTTTCCCCCCCATAATGTCACAAACGGTATTTCAAGCTTCAATCATGTCTTGGCAAAATCCTTTCCAAATATTTTTGATCTTTATCAGCAAGGAACATTTATTTGGGTTACACCATCTTATTGTCAAACCTGTCATAACTTGCTTGTGATGCACATGGGATTAAAGTGTACAGCATTACTTGGTAGGAACTTGTAGATAGCAGAGGTGCATGTTCAAAAGAATCGGTGATCAAAGGAATTCCAGCTGATGGAGGCAGTCTCATGGGAGAGGTGTGATCACTTCAAAGGTTTCAGCTACATGTTGGTTGGATCGTTGCCATTACATGTTTGCTGAAGTTGCCTCATGCAATGTCTGTACATAAACAAGTGTGGCTGCAATCTTTCTTTTTGATGGATATTGACATGAACCTGGTGTAGCATTACTCCACAGCTGCTCAGACACTCCTCAGCCTGAGCACCAAATTGGTCACTTGGTTCATCAAAGAACAGCTCATTATTTTTCTGATTTTGGTATCATACCCCAACGACAAAACAGCTGGTTTGACCGGTGTTAATTAGTATCTCAGAGGTGCTCAGTGGAGGGCTGTGCTATGTATGAGTAAATATATTTCAGCAAAAGGCAAAAAATTCCAACTCAATGGCCAAAAGGCATCTTCTTTGTCAGCTCAACCATTTAACTCATAGCTGGAATTCACCAGTACGTCAAAAAGCAATTTTACCATTTCAAGGTTAAAAAAAAAATGCCCATACTGTAGGATCTTTGTGGGTTTTGTTATAATGCAACCTGTGATATTGAAAATAAAAAGAAAAGTTTGTGTGATGAATGTACCTGGGACAACAGACCTACATCAGCCAAAGTAATAAATCCAAGGACAAATCTCTTTACACTGTGTTCTACCTTCACTAGAAAATAGTTTTTGGAAAACATTTATTGTGCTAGGGTGGTGGCAGCAGTGTTGTGGGAAATAGCATTCTTAAAACTCAGCAACTAAAAGAAACATAACTAGGGGAAGGACTTTGTACTTATGTGAATTAACCCTTTTTTGAAGGTCTATTGTATCACATGAAATTGCAACTTGAAGCTCCTAGAAAACTAACATCTTGGAAATCAGCTGTAACCTCCTGCTGCACTTGTGGGTGTTCAGTGAACCCAGTTTTACATTTTCAGAACACATAAAAGAAGAGTGAATTAACTATTCAATCAAAGTTGAGTCAACTCTCAGCAGGGGAACTTACGTTTTTACTGTGAACAATCTTAAAATGAGCCAAAGTAAAAGTGGTACTTCATCAGTTCTCCTCTCTCCAGTGCCATCAATTACAGTGAAACAGTTTCTCTTTCTTCACTAATTTGTGCCTTTATACCAGCGTTGCATGCTGGTTTGTGACTGTACAGTGACTGTGGTGTCACTGCCTGCAGATTTACACTCAAATCAAACGGTAAAACAGCTGGCGTCCTCTCTCATCTCATTAGGTGATCTGAGATCTGTTTTTGAACTGAAAACCAGCAGAATCCTCCGCCCTGAAGAGGTGTTGTTGAACTGTAGCTGACACCTATTGTGCTTTGATTCACTGTTGGAAAACCCCCTTCTGTTGACTTTCATCTAGTTAAAAGCTGTTTCATTTGTTTTTGTGGGGGAAATAAATCAATTCAAATCAAATTATTCCTTTTGAAAACCACCTGTATTGCTCATTGTTTTCCAGGGTTGAACAATAAGTCATGTATGCATTTCAAAATAGTTTCAAATAGTTACACTCCAAACTCCAAACTTGATCACAAGTAGGAAGTAAAGCCCTATTTGATTGTGTTGTAACCTGCTCAAAGGTAACATTTGGTCAAGTACAGGTCTTATATAAAGTTCAGGAACTGGCTGAGCTTAGCATGAGAGAGTTTCCACAGTGTTCAGGCTGGTTGGCCCTGGCCCTTAAGAGACTCCTGGGGCCAAACAGAGAGAGTGCTGCTCACGTTCCTGAGTGTGAAGGACTCACCAGCCTGAGCCACAGTTCAACTTGATCCTGTCTTTGTTTTTATCCTCTCGACGGGGCCTTGAAGGAGCCCTGGGAGGGAGGTTCATTAAGAGCACTGCTGTCCTTCAGCCTCGAGCCCCAGAGATGAGCCTTGGTGGGGAAGCCAACCCTCCACATACCTTAAATACCTGATTCAAGGCCATTTATTCTAGTTGTGAAGGTTGTTTTGCACGGAATGTGTAAATTGATCGCATATCAACACCATGGATGGGAAACCATCATTTTTTGGTATTCACTGTTCAACGTGTCTGTGCTGTTTACAGCAATAAACCTCGTAATATGTTCTCATCTGTTGGTTTTAGTATACCTGTAGGTAAAACTTTTCATCATGCATTAACTAACTGAGAGAGTAATAGTGACCTTGGCCTCTCCCTGCACACACTGATATGTACATACTCTGAGAGTTGGAGTGTGTGTGTGTCTGTGTGTGTCTCTGTGTGTGTGTGTGTGTGTGTGTGTGTGTGTGTGTGTGTGTGTGTGTGTGTGTGTGTGTGTGTATGGGTGTTCGGATATGTGCACACCCTTACCCGGAAGCTGTAGCTTTGTCTCCAGTGCTGTAATGAAATACACTGTGGTGTACGTTTGTGTCTGTGTGTTGGTTAAGCATTGTTGTAAATGACCGTGTAAACAAAAGTCTTGCACAATGAAGCAGCTTGTGTTGCTTCAAGCAAAGTGTGAGCTGTCATTAGGTAAACCTGAAAGGATACAGCAGTGATCTTAGATTTACAAAAAACATGATACTACAAAATAATCACAGAGAAAGGCTATGGTAAAAAACAAAACCTAAAGGTTACATGTGAACAGCTGTTAAAGGACAGCCATGTTTGAGGCCTGGAAATGTTTCTCGTCAAAGCAGCAAGTTTTCAAGCTACTTGAAATCCTTTTATATAAACTCAAGCCTAAGGGCCCATACACAGCTGCAGAGCTAATAGACCACTTTAATCAATTCACGATGTCTGGAAACTGGAGCAGCAGTTCAAAGTCATGAGCCAACACCTTTCAGTAGAAATTTTGTCTTTCATTGTAATTAAGGATACAATGTAACTGTGCTGTTCAACTGCAGCCAGGCCAGTGAGGCTGGTCAGAGTTTGTGAACATGCAAACTTTCATTTTTGATGTTAAATATCTCATTTTATCATTTTCTATTGTCTAATCTTACTTTATATTACACAAACTTTAAAGTTTTGTAATTAATCGTGAATATTTTTTTCCAGAATTATGGCAGCTTTACACTACCTCAAGAAAGCCCTTAAAAATGTATGAAAGAAGAAATGCAGTATAAAGATTTAATAGAATTTAAGAGGCTGTGCCCTTGTGCTGCCTCAGTCAAGGTAATCTAACAGGTCAATCTGTGTGTGTAATGATGCTGTTAAAACCTACATCCTTACTTAAACCCTCTCCAGAGATTAATCATTAATAATAGTGATTATACAACCAGAAACAAAATGCACCTTCATGCAAACTAATCCAAGCTCAACAGAATTTAACAACACCCAAGACAAACACCAGGTCTGAAAATAACAAAACAAATTTTAATAACTATTTGTGGTAATTCTGCAGGACTTGAGCCTTTGGTGCAATGAGAGTGCTGAATCTTCAGAAGGACATTTTCTAAATGATTCTTCACTCTGTGGAACAGTGTAACTCGTGGCCCAGCACAATGATTTTTTTTTTGGTCGACCCTACAATGTGAAATTGTCCATGACAGGCTTAATAATTCGTGTAATAAGTCTTGTTTTACTGATCACTGAACCAGCCTTCGTACATGGCCTTGGGCTCTTCCTGCTTGGCTGAGGTCAAATATAAAACCAACCCTCACAATTCACCTGAAACTATAGAATGACTCCGTCACCTTGATGCTCAAAGTGACTGACTTACAAAAACTGCACCAATCAGCTCACTTTTTGACGATCTTTGTGGTAAAAATCTTCTTAATATACAGTAGAGACCATTCTGCCATTCTGAATGGACCTGCCAGTTGCAGGCAACAGTGTTCATCTGGCTGCAAACAGACCTGCAGTTCCTCAGTTGGCAGGAAATGGGAAGGCAACGCTTGGAGCGTTCAATGAGTCTGGTTACGGCGATGCGAGCAGTGTAGCATCCTGTGGATCTGATGCTCTGACTGGCTATGAGACTCTGGACTCCCCGCCACATTACGACTTCTACGCCAACACAGAGGTATGGGGCCGCCGGAGACGCTTCAGACCATCTCTGTACCAGCTGTACGCCAACCCTGAGGTGAGGATTCTCTGCTGTTTGTCAACTGTTCAGATTACCTCAATTACAATAAGAGTAGCAGAAATTAACATTTGTTGAACAAAAAGGTGCTTTTTTGTCCCTAATTTCCACTGAATATGTTTTAAATGGTCTGAAACTAATCTCATGATACATCAGTTAGATTCAGGTCACGATCTATCTCTCCATGACTGGACAATAGTTGTTTCATTTAGTCCAAAAATTCTGTCACAACCTGCAACTAGAAATTATTTTGTTTTTCTGTATTACAACTAGAAGTAGAAGTTTATTAGAAGTTGATTTAACTGTTTTTATTAACTTTGATTACTAACAATTGTAACAGGCAGAAGTACCATTAAAAAAACAAAGTTCAATAATTAGGAACATTTGAGCTCATTTCACAAGTAAAGTTTTTAGATGTGCATCACAAAAAAGAAATTCCTAAAAGAAAATTTTTGAAAAACCTAGCAAATATCATTGTTACCAAATTTGTGATTTTGAATTTTGGGCTTTTTAAATAAAATTGATCGACCTTGACTTGACTAGGATGACTCCAGACCTCCCATGTACGAGGAGACAACAGGTGAACAGATGGAAGGAGGAGACAGCTCTGAGGAAGACGAGGATGAGCAAAAGGAGCCGCCGCCTGAGCCTACCCGCTTCGGCTGGGTACAGGGAGTCTTGGTACGTACGGTTAGACCCCTGTGAGTTTTGTTGTTGAGTGAGTGAGTTATGTTTTTGTTGAACGAATGCTGACTGGGTTCAATCAGGTCTGATGTATTTGGTAAATTCACTCGGTAACTGTCTGTCTGTCACATAGATCCGTTGCATGTTAAATATCTGGGGGGTGATCTTGTACCTGAGGCTGCCTTGGATTACTGCTCAAGCTGGTATAGGTACGTCTAATAAAAAGATTAAATTAATTTATTCTGTGCAAGCTGCTGTCTGGCTCATAGTCACCTTCTCTCTTTCTATTTATGTCTCCACTTCAGGTCTGACCTGGGTGATTATCCTTCTATCCTCTTTGATAACTGGGATCACTGGCCTCTCTACTTCAGCCATTGCTACCAACGGCAAAGTCAAAGGAGGTCTGTTCACCCGGTAACACCCGGTTGTTATAGACATTTGTTATATAGTAGTAGTTGAAAACTGTTGTGGAACCACGGTAAACAAATGACATCAACGTGTCGTATTTGTATTCTGCCTCAACCACCTTCAGTTCTTTATCTGTTTGCTTTTCTCCTACGTATTGTGCTCACATATACACTATTTTGATACAGCTAAATTTCCAATGAAGCCTTTCTCATTCACACGTTTGAAATAGTGGCCAGTCTGTTGCAGGAGCAGTAGCCTGGCTGTTAACACCAGAAGTACGACTCCCTTCCCCTCTCGCCTTCAGGGGGGACCTACTTCCTGATCAGTCGTAGCCTGGGTCCAGAGCTGGGTGGATCCATCGGTCTGATCTTTGCCTTTGCCAATGCTGTAGCTGTGGCCATGCACACCGTGGGCTTTGCTGAGACTGTTACAGACCTCATGCGAGTGAGTATGATGCTGTTTGTTAATTTCTTTGGACCACTTTTTTTTACATGATACCACCTTAGTGTAATAGTATGCTTATCTATTCTCTTCCATCCCTCCTGAAATTTATCTGAAATTCCTTCTTCAGGAAAACGGAGCTGTCATGGTGGACCGCACCAATGACATTCGCATCATCGGCGTCATCACTGTCACATGTCTACTAGGCATCTCGATGGCTGGCATGGCATGGGAATCCAAGGTTAGCTCAACCAAACATATGAGACCATAGTAAACTCTCTTGGTGGTTAATAAATAAGAAGGAACTCCAGCTGTGTGGGAGAGTGAATAGCCCTGTAATGGGCTCGGCTATTGGTTTGTGTCAGTTAGTTCCTAACGCCAACAGAGGTAATAGATTAGCTACCTTGTAAAGCCTGAGGGTCCTCATTATGGGCTACAACTTAAAGTACAACTACATGAATAGCACCACCCACCACATACTTATACTATAGCTCTATGTGCAGAGGCTACTCATTTCGCCCGATCATGGGTTGTCTTTGTTAGTTAACTTCTTGGAAGCTACACTAAAATTCTCCTTACACCACCTGCCATGCTAATGAATTACAGAGAGACAGACACTTTATTGTATTTTCATGTTCTAACTAATTCTTACATGTGAATGTCTGCATCCATATACTTACTGTATATTCTGCCTTCCACAGGCGCAGATTCTGTTCTTCCTGGTCATCATGGTGTCATTTGCCAGTTACTTTGTTGGAACGATCATTCCTGCTTCACCGCAGAAACAAGCCAAAGGTTTTTTTAGCTACAAAGGTGACTATTGAGTATCATGCCAGAGATTATTGAATACCCTTGTTTCATAAGCTATTGTGCGTGTGGTAGTTTTTACACAAATCAAGGATCATCAATCTTCTTAACAAATGATTGAAATAAACGATTTTGATAGGACGATGAGCTCTCCAGTTAATTGACTATTTCACCTTCAACAGCGGATATCTTTGCTGCCAATTTTGTTCCCAACTGGCGGGGGGCAGAGGGCAGCTTCTTTGGCATGTTCTCCATTTTTTTCCCCTCAGCCACGGGCATCCTGGCAGGGGCTAACATCTCTGGAGATCTGAAGGTATGTCAGTTTGTTTCTCTCTCTCTCTCTCTCTCTGTCTCTCTCTATATATATATATAAATATATATATATATATATATATGTGGGAATTTATTAGTCAGTTTAAAGCTTCTATGTTGATGTCTTGTATCCTCTCCTTCCCAGAATCCAACAGTGGCCATCCCTCGAGGAACACTGATGGCTATATTCTGGACCACTATGTCCTACCTCCTCATCGCTGCTACCATTGGTACTGTATGACCATGCCACCTAGCATAACTGTATTCAGACTGCCTTCCACCCATACAGTGAGCTGCTCTTCAGTGGCTACCTCTGCGTACATTTTTCATAATGCACGGTCTCTTACAGTTCACAGTTTATCATTTTAAGCCCTTAATAACTTAACTATAATATTCCCATATCTTTCTGCAGACTTGGAATATATGTGGTACAGTTTAGTATCTTACAGTCAGCTTTAAATACTGTAACACTTCTAGCATTTCATTTCTAATATCACTTATTATTAATGTAGTAACTTATGTACATGCTTGTGTCCATGCGTGTTTCCTCCCAGGATCCTGTGTGGTACGGGATGCGTCTGGCATGTTAAATGACACCATGTCTTCCTCCGCATCCAGCGAGGATTGCGTTGGTTTAGCTTGTCAACACGGATGGGACTTCAGCAATTGTATCAAGAATAGCACATGCACCTACGGCATCAGTAACTACTATCAGGTCAACACAGACACACACACACACTCAAGACACAAGAATGAGCTGGACCTTTTTTATTCAATCAAAAGCCTTGCTAGACGTTGTTTTTCTGCCTGATTCACAAGGTTATGCTGCACAGGGGAAGACAACATGTTACATGAATTCAGAGTAATGCTCTTGAAGCCCTGAAAAATCCAAACAGATTCCTCTTGTTGCCACTCGAGGGCACCAAAGCATGTCACTGCCTGAGTCTGCTGTCAGTTCAAAAAGCTGTATGTGATTGCTCTGTCATTGCCAGAAGCAAAAAACACACAAGTAAAACAGTGACAGCCACAAGCCAACACTGATGTGTTCTGCACAAATAACTCACTCCCACTCACTGTGTACAAATCACTTACATTAACAGTAGGTCACCTTGTACACAAACAAACATACAAGCAGTTCCTCCCCTGGTGGAAGAGATTAGCTTAATAGGTAAACAGCACATTTCTGTTTCTAGTCGATGAGCATGGTGTCGGCCTTCGCCCCTCTCATCACTGCTGGTATCTTTGGAGCGACTCTTTCCTCTGCGTTGGCCTGCCTGGTGTCTGCTCCCAAAGTCTTCCAGGTACACACACACACACACACACACACACACACACACACACACAAACGCGCTATATTGTGTTAATAAATTATTTACATATTTATTCATATATTTCAGTGAAACTTTGTCCATCTCCCTGTGCCTGTGTCTTAAAATAGGTTTTTCTTATTTTCGCTGCTGTGACTAAGAATTTTTTTTTTTTTTGTCTACCCCTTTTTTTTCTGGTAGTGTCTGTGCAAGGACAAACTCTACCCTCTCATTGGCGTCTTTGGCAAAGGTTACGGCAAAAATGATGAACCGCTCAGAGGCTACCTGTTGACATACATCATCGCAGCCTGCTTCATTCTCATTGGTGAGGCTCTGGAGAGAATCTCTGAACCTTAAAATGTAGACCATTAATACTGTCAGAAATTAGGTTTTTGACTTTAGACTTTGACTTTTTAACTAATGGGAATCATGGTTCTCTTAAATTCTCTCTCTTCTGCCTTCTGTCTTTCCACCAGCTGAGTTGAACACCATCGCCCCCATCATCTCCAACTTCTTTTTGGCCTCCTACTCTCTCATCAACTTCAGCTGCTTCCACGCCTCGATCACCAACTCGCCAGGTAGAAAGCTCCAAGAAGACGTTTGGACAGATAGATGGATAAACATGAATGCAATAAGAATCAATGAAAACAGTTCCCGGTAGAGGTGTGTGTGTGTTTGTGTGTGTGTAGGTTGGCGTCCGTCCTTCAGGTTCTACAGTAAGTGGCTGTCGTTGCTGGGTGCCGTGTGTTGTGTGGTGATCATGTTCCTGCTGAACTGGTGGGCGGCCCTCATTGCCTTTGGCATTGTCATCTTCCTTTTGGGATATTCGCTCTACAAGAAGCCCGGTAAACTCACACCCACTCACACGAGTGTCACACAACAAAGAGCTGCCCGGCTTCACTGCATCCTTTTAACTCTGCTGCTCTGCTCTGTGTTCAGCTGTGAACTGGGGCTCGTCGGTGCAGGCGGGCTCCTACAACATCGCTCTGAACCAGTGCGTAGGCCTCAACCATGTGGAGGACCACGTCAAGAACTACAGGTTGGCGAGGACGTTTACTTTACAGTGTATTTACTGATCAATCCAGGTTGCATCTAGGGCATTAAGGATTCACAAATCTACTTCAGTTTACGTATCCTCAGATACCTTAAACCTGTCTTACGCTCTTCTTTCAGACCGCAGTGTTTGGTGCTGACTGGTCCTCCCAGCAGTCGTCCAGCTCTGGTGGATCTGGTCAACTGTTTCACCAAGAGTCTCAGTCTCATGATGTGTGGCAACGTGGTCGCTGTGAGTACAGCTCAACATTACTGTCACATCTCTCAGTATTGCCTGGATAATCTTATTTATGTATATATTTTTAAAATATTAATATTTCTGGTTCCAGCTGTGAGAGCAAGTAAAGCATTTCTTATGTGGCTTTGTATTTCAGGCTGATTCCTCCCCAGCAGCCGTGGACAAAACAAGCAGTGACAGGCATGTTAGCTGGTTGAACCAGCGGAAGGTCAAGTCATTCTACAGAGGAGTGGTGGCTACAGAGCTACGATCAGGAGTTAACATGCTGCTACAGGTGAGAATTACACCTCGTCTATTCTATTCCAATGAACTGTCTCCATCAACTGAACCTTTTCTGTCGCACAAAGCTTCAGAGTGAACCCAAGCTTTTCAGTCTGAATGTCTCATCTTATATGAAATCCACTGCTCCTGATCTGAAGCCGTTGCATCAATGACTTCAAGTTCAAGTAATTAGACTGATAAAACCAGAGGTAACACGGCCAGTAGGTAACCAGCTGGGTGAGATCAGTTATCCAGGATTACTCATGTGATGTTGAGTGATTCCAGAAGTTGACCGCTCCTCTTCTCATGCTGCTGTCCGTCCAACAGGGGGCGGGTTTGGGTCGTATCAAGCCGAATGTTCTGCTGATGGGTTTCAAGAAAGACTGGCGCAGTGACACACCTCAGGCTGCACATGACTATATAGGAATACTGCAGTGAGTACAGTGGGAATTAATACTTCATATTGTGTGTGTATACTTTTGAACTATTAATTTGAGCACTTATAGTCATGTTTTTTTCAATAAAACTGTTCATGTCCCAATTTAAGCATTAAAAACCATGACAATATGAAACTTGATCATAGAAAACGCCACCCCAGCCAGCACAAAGAGTGTGTGTGTGTGTGTGTGTGTGTGTGTGTGTGTGTGTGTGTGTGTGTGTGTGTGTGTGTGTGTGTGTGTGTGTGTGTGTGTGTGTGTGTGTGTGTGTTCATGTACCTGTATATTCATGTATATGTGTGTTTCAGTGATGCATTCGACCTACACTACGGTGTGTGCGTGTTGAGAATGAGGGAGGGACTGGATGCCTCTCGTCCATCTCAATCACACGGTGAGGGCCTTAATTCACACTAGAACAGCGCACAGTGAGAGTAAAATAATTCACTAAACTCTTGACAGCCACTGCAGCTGCAATATCTGTCAGTTTGTTCGGAGTTACCATGGTGGGAAGTGCAGTCCACATTCATTCACTATCGTCAAAATGATTGACTTCAAGTAAATCCATGTACACAGCAAATTCTTCTTTTATTTCAGTCAATCCCAGCTTTGATGGAGGACAAGAGAGTATAAATACCATCTCTGCCCTTTCCCGCATTCAAACAAGCACTACGTGTATGTATATACATTATCATATCATTAGGATTCATTTGTTTTACATATAATGGCAACTTTAACTTTGAATATTGAAACTAGGCTACAGTTTGATGCCATTAAATGTTCTCTGTGTATACAAAATTGTTTGCAGCTTCTATCTCCATTGATCCAGAGTCTCAGCCCAGCACAGTGTTTCAGAAAAAACAAGGGAAGAAGACCATTGACATATACTGGCTGTCTGATGATGGAGGTCTGATTATCTCTCCATCTGTCTATCACCTCCGTCTTGTCTTCTGTCAAGAATAATATCATACGTTTCCTCATGTGTGTGTGCATGCTCCACCAGGCCTGACGCTGCTGCTGCCCTACCTGCTGACTCGCAGGAAGCGCTGGGCCGGGTGTAAGGTCCGAGTGTTTGTGGGCGGAGACACAGACAAGAAGGAGGAGCAGAAAGAGGAGTAAGCGCTTGGATTACTTCTCAATAATTCATTTTTCTACAGTGTTTTTACACATTTGCTGGAGAACTGAGATACCCAGTAAAAGGAATGCAGTTGTTAGTAATTAATGTTATCAACTTCCCTTTTGCTTTTCTTGCTATGACAAGTCAAGTTCTTATCCATTTTCAGGGTATTGGCACTCATCAAGAAGTTCCGTCTTGGTTTCCATGAAGTTGAAGTGCTTCCAGACATCTACCAAAAACCTCAGCCTGGGAAGTAAGGCTGCCAAAGCTTGTATAGGAGAATGAAGCTTTTATTATGTGATCTTGAGACCCATCATGAAAAGGTTCCCTGCATCAGATCTAGATTTAAAACCTCCAGTTACTATATATATATATATATATAATATGCAAGAGGAAGGTTGGCTTAATAGAGGCCATGCACGCAATATGTGCTTTGATTTGATGATAAACAAAATGGCACTTGGAGTCCTCCTGAGATGCTGACTAATCCTCTAAGTCACTGTTAGACCCAAAGACTTCTACTATAACTACAGATGATCTCATGAAGCCTTGTAAATGTTGCTTTGACATTTTTAAATCAAGCTTCCATGTCTGTCTCGCCAGTGTTCATCAGTTTGAGAACATGGTGAGTCGCTTCAGGCTGGACACAAACCCCAAGCAGGACTCTGATTCTGGGCCACCAAGACAACAGGAGGAGCCCTGGATGATCACTGACCAGGATTTAGAGAGGAACAAGGCTAAGGTCTGACACACACACACACACACACACGAGTTACCAGAATTACACACATTTGGAAAGACCACATACAGAAATCATTAATCAGAAACTTCTTTTTTCTCTTTTTAATGGAACCTCTGTGGAATCCAGTCTCTCCGTCAGATCCGTCTAAACGAGGTTCTGCAGGACTACTCCAGAGAAGCTGCTCTGATTGTTGTGTGAGTACAGTAATTCTTCTTTATAGGTCACAGGAGTGCTACTTTATTATTAGATAGTCAATGCAGAGTAAAAGGAGAGGCCAACAAATGCACCACTCCACTCTGTGTGAATGGCTCTGGTCATTTTTTAAGTACAATCAAATACAAGTACAATCACTTAACCTTTAAAAGTCATCACCTGTGGAGGTTTTGAACTCATTCTTAGCTAAGTGCAAACTTGCTGTCTCCTGGCAGCACCATGCCAGTGGGGAGGAGAGGAGTGTGTCCCAGTACTCTCTTCCTGGCGTGGCTGGACATCTTGTCACGTGACCTGAGACCCCCAGTGCTACTGGTCAGAGGAAACCAGGAAAACGTTCTTACCTTCTACTGCCAATGAAATGTCTCCATGAGTGTAACGCACATATAATGAAGCAAATTATTATCCTGACATTTTCATCTTGGCAATGCCTTGATGACTATTAATGATTATCTAATCGTGTAATTAAAACATTAAAACATGAATCCTAATATTATGCTGTTGCCCTTTAATTAAGAATCTTGATGATATACAAGTACTGGAAAAGGGAATCAGTCTTGGAAACACATACTGAATAAATACATTGAAGCAATTACTGATTGTAAAGACAATAATTTATAAAAAAGTTATTAGTAATATCGTCCAATTATGTGCACATAAAATATTTTGTGTCCTTTCCTTACATCTTATTCCACAATTAAAAAACAAATTACTTTAAGTTCAATATGATTTGTTGTTATTAATATGTTTAAAATAAAGAATGGCTTGGAGCGTTCTGGTGGCTGAACGGTTACAACACATGGCACATAATGTCCAGGGCTACAGTCTGACCAAGGACCTTGCTGCGTGTTATATCCATCCCATCTCTCTCCCTATACTTCCTGTCTATCTCTTCACTATCAACTGTTGAATAAAGGGAAAAAATGATAATGAAAGGCTTGTTATATAACAAGACAGTGGTGGTGTGTGTGTGTGGTGTGTGTGTTGTGTGTGTGTGTGAGCCACTCCACCTGTCTCAGTTCTCCCATTAATCAATAATCTGTGTGCTGATCTGAACAGTATATACTGCTATATACTGTATGTCTCTCCAGAGTTGTTGTTGTTGACCAATAATTTAAAATACAGAATAAACATGTGGTTGATTCTATTTGTTGTATCTTTTATACATGTTCATAGTGTGAAAGAACCCTGGCCTACTAAAGCGTCCTTGAGACCCTGAATTTTATCAGCACCACAGGTGTTTCTTGTGTAAGACCTTGGCCTTTAAATGCACAATCCATGATTATAAATAAGTGCTCCATCCTCAAAACATCTGGTGCAGAAAAATAACAGGCTAAATTATACATATTAAAGTCATTATAGAAGTCTATTGGGTATTTTATTCAAATGAACATGTAAACTTATCTTGAACAAACAACAACTATGAACAATTCTAAATAAAAAAAATCAGTACATCAATACATTCTCAACAACAAAAAAAAATGACTTGAGAAACAATAGAAAATGAACTCACTGAATACACTCAGGAACAAAGGTGAAATAATAGAGGAAGCAGCTGACCTGAAGGGCAACAGAATGATCTCAGAACAAAGAACATTCAAGGAACCTGTGTGAGCTGCCCAGTTAGCACACCTGTTCTCCTGCTGCTCTTCTCGGTCCAGCAGTAATGAGACCCCCCTTAAGCTTGCATTTTCCATTATACAACGTGAGCAACTGCAGAAAAATTTTACTTCATGCACAGACCCATAAGTTTTTAAAGTTTGAAATCCGTTGAGTCATCATCCAAATCATCCACATCTCAGTTTACAACCTCATGTAACATGACTGATGCAACTTAAGTGATAAAACAAATTTCTGTTCTCAGAAGAAGACAGGAGCTCCACTCTGTTACCATTTTCAGGAACAGCAAACGTCAAAAATTGAAGACAATTTACAGGTGCTAAGAGTGACATTTGAAACATATAATTTATTGCTGACATATATATGATTATGAGGATTGTGATGTTGCTATGGAGAAAGGTTTTGTAACATGTACAGCGCTTACGAAAACAATGTTCGTGCAGGTTGTGTTCGTATTTTGCTAAAACTTTCTCACAGCAGCTCTCTTGAATTCGTGTGGCTCGGTTAAACTGGCAGAACAAATATGGATGCAGGATAACTCTTCTCATCTTATTTTATTACCCACTGTCTTGCGTGGTCATCTGTATTTATCATTTGTTTTGAGGGAAACCTGTCAAATGACACCTGAGTGAGAAGCTCTTATTAATAACGATCTTCGGAAATTAATAATTAAAAATTGGCATGCGCACGGGCGACGATTTCCCGAGCCTCCACGTCTGAGCACGAGCTTACATAACCAATCAGGAGCGGCCACCGTGTGTTGGGAAACAACATTCCTCCTCACTAAAGTCCGTATGACGGCTCGCAGTCAATGAGAAAGACACATTCAGAGTCAGCTGAGTCGACCAAGTTTCTCTAGACGAGACAAAATTGCGTGCGCTTTTTTCGTCTCTGTTGACAAACTAAGCATCTTAAGCATCTTGTTATTTAAACCATTGGTAGTTGTAGCGAGGAAACAGTAACGTATCACGCGCGAGAGAAAGAGTGAAAAAATGGAAAGATTCTCAACAAAAGACGATTTACTCTTTTCATAAAAACGCCTAACCAGTCCAGGCAGGAGGATCAAGTCGTCGAAGGCATCCATCTGGACTGGACCGTAAATGACCTGAAAACACATTTGGTCGACTGTCTTCCCCCACACAACCGGTGAGTTTCATGGAGACGGATAAGTTAGCCGGCTAATGTCAGCGGAACTAGTTAGTTCGCGGTTGACGGGCAGTTGAGAGGCAGGAGAGCCAGCTAACTGAGTTAAGCAGGCTGCTGCTAGTTAACAGACTGTCAGCCAATTGTGTGCTTACACAAAACCCAAACAAGTGTGAGGGGTTTTTTGAGGGGTTGCGTGGGTCCACATGTAGGAGTATCAAAGGATAAGCTGTATTGCTAATGGATTTATTATATACAACTTCCTTCTCTCAAAACCGAAACTACTTAGAGGAAATGGTGGAGAACACTGCAGACTGGAATGGAGCCATCCAATCAGTATCTAGGTGTCTTTGGCAGTTAAGTAGTTTGTATACTGTCATATAAAAGATCCTGTGAGGCTTTGACAAACCACAGCATGTGGCAGGCGGCACAGTGCAGCTGTTTTGATAACGTTTGAAAAGAAGTTGGAATGACAGAGTGAGCTGCACGCCATTCTCATCAGAGTACAGTAAGTGGGACAAGTACCTAAAATCATAAGCAACATATGGCTGCCAAGTTTAATTCTTCCATACAGAGATAGCTGTC